TATATATATTATAATATATAATATAATATAATATAATATATATAATATAATATAATATAATATTAATATAATGTATAATATAATTTATATATATATATATATTAATATAATATAACATATATTATATATAATATATATATTATATACATATATTATATTATGTATTAATATAACATAATATTTAAATACATTATACAATATTGTCAAATTAAACAAACCTGCGTTTATCAAACCAAACTGCTTCATGTCCTCTTTGTTGTAATGCTGCCATAATAACATTAATATCATAATTACCAAGACCTAATAATGATTTATGAGGATTAATCCATACATCTGGACTTAAGCTATAACAAATTTGATCTAATTCTTGTTTGCTAAATCGTCTTTCTTGAAATAAATTATTTAATGCATGTAATGCGCAAAGCTCTTTCACCTATAAGAATAATAATCATGCAGATATAAATATTTAATATATACAATATTACATTATTCAGAAATAATAATATATAAATATATTATTGTATATATTATTATATATACAATTATGTATTCATAATTAATAAAAATTTATTAATTTTGTGTATATATACATATATATTATTGTATTATAATTGTTCCATTATTAATTGAAAACATAAAATTCTTAATAATTACTTGTCTTTCATGATATATGGATCCAGTCATATCAGCTGTTATATTCGCAACCATTTTATCTACATAATTTTTATCATATATTATGTTAATAATTTAATTAATTAATCATTTGCATCATTTATCAAAATCTTCTTCATATATAAAATTTAACAAATTTATATTGCATTAATAACCTAATAACATAATAAATATAATCTGCTATTTATTTAAATCTGATAGAAAATTATATTAAGTATCAAATAATTATTGTCAAAACTTAATACGAACTTCAATAAAGAAGAAATACTGTCACTTCAGAATACAATTATAAAATAAATTTATTTTTGGTAAGCATCAATATATGTATATGTATTATTCATTTACATTCATTCATAACTGTATTTTATGATATATTTTGATAAAAACGTTTTCAATTATATATTCTTTATATATAAACGCAAATATTAAACAGTAATACGCAGCAGATATAAAAATGATTTAAATATACTATCTTTATTTAAACTACTTTTCTGAAAAGATGATTGGATAGTTTTGAACTATTGATATTTCATTGATATTAAACTTGTAAAATTTATTTATTGTTTGAAGTTTGTATTTTAAAATCTGTATAATATAATTATTTTTTTTATTATATAAATATATTAATATTAATGAAAGAATAGCATACGTAATTAAATAATACAAACATATTTTAGTTAGTCTATAAAATATATTATACTTTATGGTTAAATAAAAACAACAATATACCTAATTTTACAAATAGGTATGTTTATTTAGAAATATTAAATATAAAACAACTATATTGATCAAATTTAATATATAAAATAAAATTTAATATATTTAATTAATTTCTGTTTTCAAAAAATATTTTTAAACACTGTACTTTAATTAAATTTAAAATGGAAAATGATTATAAACTTTTAAAAGAAATAGATTGTAAGCAAGGAGCTGTTAGAGCTGTACGATTTAGTGGTACGTATATAGTTCTATTTTACTATTTTATTTTAAATAATTTATAATTATTTTAATATTTAATAATTTTTTTTAATAGTTTATAATATTATGTTAATATTATAAACTTTTTTTATAATTTAATAATATTGATTAGATTTAATATTTTTTCAGTTGATGGTGCTTATTGTTTAACTTGTGGATCTGACAGGAAATTAAAATTATGGAATCCTTATAGAGGTGTTACTTTAAAAACATATGAGGGACATGGAAATGAGGTAATGGATAGTAGTGCATCTTGTGATAGTAGTCAAATAGTGTCTTGTGGATTAGATAAATCAGTTATTCTTTGGGATGTAGCAAGTGGAACTCCAATACGCCGTCTAAGAGGTCATGCAGGTCCTGTTAATACTGTAAGGTATATTATTATAAAATTATTATTCTCATATGCTTTTATAATAATTTATTTAAATAACATTTTTTTTTTGATATAGATTTAATGAAGAGTCATCTATGGTTATTTCTGGATCAAGAGATAATTTAGTTATGTTGTGGGATATTCGTTCTAAAATGTTAGAACCTGTGCAATGTTTAAATGAAGCTAAAGATTCTATTTCTAGTGTTAGAATATCAAATCATGAAATTTTAACAGCTTCTTTTGATGGAAAAATACGCAGATATGATATTCGTGTAGGTGAAATATATGCAGATTATATAGGAGGTAAATTAATATATTAAAAATTCATAAAATGCAAAATAAAAATTGTCACTAAATTTATTATTATAGATGCAGTAATATGTGCAAGTTTTACAAGAGATGGTCAATGCATAGTAGTTAGTTCTGCTGATGGTATAATTAGATTAATAGATAAAGATTCAGGAGAATTACTTGGAGAATTTTCAGGTCATGTGGTTAATAATTTATGCTTAGAATCAAATGTTGATAATCAAGATACTCGTATTATTTCTGGATCTGCAGATGGAAAATTGTGGATATGGGATTTGGTTTCTCAGAAAGTAGTTGCAAAACTTTCAGGATTTAAATCAAAAAAACATCCTATGGTATCATTAAGTGTTCATCCACAAAAAAATTGTTTTTTAGCTACTAATGGATCAAATATATTAATGTGGACTACATCAGCATAAACATAGTATTTTTAACAAGTTTATAATCATATATGTAATTATATATATTTTTAAATGCACATTATATTATAAAATTAAAAATGTATATATTATTATATAGTATTTATTAGTATTCATTTTATGTTAAAGAAAAATAAATTGTTGAAGAAAAGAAAATAAATATGAAATAATTGAAAAAAATTTGTATTTATAACATTAAC